CTCAAAGTCGGGGAGGCGATAAAGGGGACGAGAAAAAAGTGTGCACCCCTCGTGCCCCGTTTTTGGGCCCCACGGGGGCCACTTTGAGGGCCCCCTGAGGTGCACGACAGGCGCACCTTTCCCCCCATTCGGCGGTGGACAAACCTCTCTTTAGTAAACCTCCCCTAAGTGAAAACGGCCTAGGACCGAAACCGACGGACCTGGACCCGCAACAATGTCGGCCGCGACACCCTCTCGCGAACCGAAAACGGCCAATTCCTCAATCGACGTGTCAGGGTAGGAGGTCTATCAACCTCCGACCCATCTGTGTTGACTCCTTATTACGCAACGCCCGAAGGCGTCGGAATCGAACACCCGCCGGCTCCTGGGGTGGTCCTCGGCGAGTGAGCTCGCTGCCCCCTCCCCGAACCCCCTCCCCCATAGGAGCACCGTGCGGGCGTTTCGGACTGGGCCGGGGGAGGGGTTCTTTGGACTGGGCGAAATGGGTACGGAAAGAATAAGTACAATGCCCAACAACAAATGTTGTCCCAAACCAACAGCGGCCGCTGTTGGCAGGCGGCCTTCTGTCTCAAATGGACACAGGCCGCGGCGACACCGACAGCGAGTCCTGTTTCAAAATGACCAGGACCTGCTGTTCGGCATTGTACCTGTTCTTTCCGTACCCATTTCGTTCGTGCCGAAGTTCGGCGAGTCGGGCGGACAGGAGGCGAGGGCTCCTCCGGGAGGAGGGGATCCTCAGGCCTTCAAAGCATCCACGAGCTGACCAAATTCGCACAGGAAGCCTCAAGAGGCCGTGCCTCGCCCCTGGACGGGACCGGGGCTCGAGAGACTGCGAGGAGGCCTGGCCTCGAACCAGAGGAAGCCGGACATGGGTCTGTCCGTGTCTGGCTCCCGGCTCCTGGGGCCGCGTCTGGGACCCGGAGCAAGCAAAAAGCGATCTGGGATGGACAGCGGTCGCCAGATCCTCCGCCTCCTCGCCGTAGATGCTCATTCTGGGGACCTCTTGGAGCCAATCGCTCCGCTCGTGCGTCGAAGCTGCGCCGAACGTCCGTCGACATGAGTCGAACCGGAGTCGAACCTGAGCCGAACCTGAGTGGAACTTGAGTCGAACTTGAGTCGAACTTGAGCCGAACTTGAGTCGAACTGGAGTCGAACTGCAGTCGAACAACTCCATGAGGTGGGCCTCGGGGAGATCCCCGAAACGAGCATCGAGCTCCGGGCTCCTGGAACCGCTTCTGGAGCCCGAGACGAGCAAAAACGACACGGGATGGGCAACGGTCGCCAGACCCTCCGCCTCCTCGCCCCCGCAACCCGTTTCTGCCGGGCCCCTGGCGTGGCCGTGTGCCCCTGTCCGAGGAAGGCTCCTGCTCACACTCTCCTCCTCCGCCTCCTCCTGCCGCCTCCGCGCCCGCACCCTCCTCCTCCCCGCTCGACTCGCGGCGCGCGAGGGGCCCAAGCTCGGGAAACAAACAAATCCTCACCGTTCATCCCCACTCCCGCCTTCCCCCCCCCCGCTCCTCCTCGCGCGCTCCCCCGGGACGCCCCGTCGTCCCTCCCCGCTCGCTCCAGCCGCCGACCCGCCGACCAGAGATCCGACGACCTGGTCTCTTCCATGTCACTCGGAAGTCCCCGCTCTTGCTCCCCCTCCAGCGCGACAAGCAGCCCAGGAATGATTGCTTGCCTGACGTGATCCCAGGGATGAGCGGTGATGAAGCGGCGACGGAAACAGCGGTAAACGACCATGCCCAGGTCACTTTCACGTGAACGTGCCCGAGAGTGAACGCTCACGTGAAATGACCTGGAGGAGTCCCCGAGAGGAACGTTCAGTGTTGCGCTGTCTTGGTTCCGCCTCCATACCTCTGCCGAACGCCCAACAACCACAACAGGAGCCTGAGTGTTCGCCCTTGCCGGCCTCCGGTGGCCCTCGCCAGGCCCCGGGACCGTCAGACAGCAATGAACCAAAGAACAGCCCCAGGGGAATGCGGCAGGTCCTACTGGGGCCCCGCGTGGATGAAATCACGAGCCAGATCTCCAGGCTCGTGAGCGTTCACCTCTGCGCTGTCTCTGCCACTTCGAGGCCCCTTTTTCCCCCAACAGTGCTTGCACCAAGGGGCTCTTGCCAGAGGGCAGAACATCCCTCCCCAGAAGAGTCGCCCCGACAAGCGGAGCCTTTGGGTAAACGCGCACCCAGGGAAGGAATCCAGCAGGGCAGGGCTGTCTGGTGTTCAGTAAAGGCCCAGAGCCCTTCAGCGAACGCCAATGGTCGGCTCCGGGTGGCTCTTCCTCCCTTGACTTGCTGCCCTTTCTTGCGCAGCTTGATTGGTGCGCTGGGCGTTCGCCGCGCTGCGGGCCCGCGCCGCCTCGTGGGAGCCTCGCGGGCGCCCCGCGCGCCTGGCGTGTGTGTGCGTGTGCGTGTGCGTGTGCGTGTGCGTGTGCGTGTGCGTGTGCGTGTGCGTGTGCGTGTGCGTGTGCGTGTGCGTGCGTGTGTGTGTGTGTGTGTGTGTGTGTGCGTGTGCGTGAGTGTGTGTGTGTGCGTGTGTGTGTGTGGGTGTGTGTCGAGGTCCGCCTCGCGGGCGACCCGCGCTTGGGAGGTGTGTCGAGGCCCCCTCCATCTGGCTAAAAGCTTGGGCGAGGGGGCCAAACACAGTAGGAGAAGGGAGGAGGCGCCGAGGAAGGGAGGGCCCCTGAGGTTCACCCCTCTTCCACTCAGGCGATTCTTTCCCAAACTCCTGGTCCCTACGAAACTGGGGGCTCCAAGGGAACCGGTTGCGCCAGGTTGCGGACCCGTGCCACCTCGTGGGCGCCTCGTGAGCCTACACGACACAGCCTTCACCACGTAGCTTCCACCGAATGGCTTACACGACATAGCTTACCACGCATGGCTCACACCGCATGGTCTATCTAGCATAGCTTGCACCCCATGGCTGTCACCTCCAGCTCACACCGTAGAGTTTACACGTGATTGATTACACAGCGTGCGCTGCATGCTTTTCGCCCGCATAGCTCACACCACATAGCTCACACGGTTTAGCTTTCTCCACATCGCTTACACCACGTCGCTTTCACATCCAGTAGAATATCGCACCGTTCGGGGCCCGCACTGGCGGCCAACGGTTTTTTCACGCAACACGGAAAAACGAAAGGGCACTCATAGAAGAAGAACAAAAACGCTACAAACATGAACACCTGGCGCTCCGCGCGGATTTCTTGGACCTGCGCTGGAACCCCCTCCCAGGCGCGCTCCGCGCGCCATGGGCGGCGCCGGAGGCGCCGCCAGGGGGGGCCCAGCGCAGTTCCAAGAAATCCGCGCGGAGAGCCTAAGTTTATGTTTACAGCGTTTTTCTTCTTCGAGCTCGGCGACAAAAACCGGTCCAGAGACGGGGTCGAGTGTCGTAACCTCTGGGGGCCCCTGTTGGAGGCCTGGAAATTTGCACCAGCACCAACACAGGGGGTTGCCTCCACAGGGGGAAGATGATCCTAGATTTCGGTGTTGGTGGTAATATTTCGGCCACCCTGGAAGCCAGAATATTACCACCATCACCGAGATCGGGATCTTGCTTCCCTCGGTGGAGGCACACCGCCGAAATTGGTGTTGGTGTCAACCTCTAGGCCTGCGACCCTGTCGTGAAGCATCTGCATCGAAGCGGAGGCCTGGGAGCTCGGAGGGCCAGTCGAGACGGCGGCGGCCCTGGCACTCTGGGAAGGGAGGGTGAAGGGTGGAGGAGGAGGAGGAGGAGGAGGAGGAGGAGGAGAAAGGAGGAGGAGGAGGAGGAGGAGGAGGAAGGGTGGATGATGATGATGATGATGCTGCTGATGATGATGATGATGATGATGATGATGATGATGCTGATGCTGATGCTGATGCTGATGCTGATGCTGATGATGATGATGCTGATGCTGATGCTGATGCTGATGATGATGATGATGATGATGATGATGATGATGATGATGATGATGCTGGTGATGAGGAGGAGGAAGAGGCGGAGGAGGAGGAGGGGGAGGGCCGCCACCGACGTCTCCTCTGAGAGGAGCAGGGGGGAGGATGGGAGGAGGGCAGGGCCCAGACCTCCGTCGTCGGGATCCCAAGATCTCTGGCCCATCGGAACCCATGCTCGGGCTGCTGGGCCGTCAAGCAATCCATCTGGCGGGATGCTCAACCCTTGCCCCCAGGAACAGGTCGAAAGGTCCGGAGGGGGGAGGGGACGCTTTTCGGCGGCGAGCGAGGGGGGGAAGTGAGACGGAGAAGGCCTTCTCAGAAGGCTCGGAGGCCCCCCAGCCTTCTGAGAAAGTTGTCTGAGCCTTCCCCGAGGGCACAGAAAACTTCTCAGAAGGCGCAAGGACTTCTGAGAAGCCCCGCCGCCTTCTGAGAGGGCCTTCTCCTTCTCACTTCCCCCTCTCGCTCGCCGCCGAGCTTTGGTCGCGAACACATTGGAATACGACTGATGCCTGGCACGTGGCGGACGAGTCCTGTGAGCTGAGGCTTGCCTCCGACGGGCTGCTGCACGACGGCGAGGAACACCCGGAGGCCGTGGATGCCGCGCTGGGCGAGCGGTCGAGCAGGAAACCCTTGGAGGCCTCGCCCATGAGCTCGCGGCACGCATCGGCTGCGCAGAGGCCCCCCAGCCCGATCTGGCAGCTCGCCGCCAGGCCGGACTCGGCGATCCACCTCGCGGGCCTCTCCATCCACTCCCTCACCGGGTCCGCCATCCTTCGCAGCATTGGCCTCTCCGCGTCGTCCAGGCTCCTCAGGAGCGCTCTCGGGTCCGAGTCGACGCTGAAGGAGACGAAGACCTTGCCAACCGCCTGGCCCAGGGCGCCGACGGAGCTGCCGCCGCCGATGTACGTCAGGGGGAACGTGAGCACAGGCGTCTCCCAGGCGCCGGCAAACTCGTCCCCGTGGCGGCAGGCTCGGCCGCCCGAGTCCCTGGCCGCGCACCGCGGCAGCACGCGCCGCCGCAGGTCGACGCTGCACATGCCGACGTCGCGGGGGCGCGAGAGGCTCACCTGAGCGGGCGAAAAGAGACGGGCCTATGGCGACCTTACGCGGTGGCTCACGCGGGCCGCCAGCGCGGCACGCCAGAACGGAAACGGGGGCGCCTGCGCGCCGTCCTGCGTAAGCAGACGCCGCGCGAAACTCAGCGCAATCGATCCGGTTTGTCTGCGTCGCTCACCCCGGAAAAATATACACACCGTGAAACAAACACACACACACACGGTAGATAAATGGCACAAACAAAAGCACACGGTGGAAACATATATATATATATAATACATACACACTGACGGAGGAACCAAGAAACAGTGTGGGGACACACACAAACACACACACACACACGGTAGCAAAGCCCCGTCACACACTGGAGCACCTTCACACACACAGTGGGAAACAACAGTCTGTGGAAAGCGTCGCTCACCTGGAGGGGCCCCAAGCGGACGTCGCTCTGCGCCCGAAGCCACAGCTGCACTCCTGCGCGCAGGGGGCGCCGCGTGCGCCACCGTGTCTGGCCAGGGCCGCCCCAGGCCCTGGCAGCCCCCTCGCGTGGCGACCGCTCGGGGACGGCCCTCGACGGAAACCACAGTCTTATACGCCGAGGCTGAATCTGTACATTTGTGGGCATACTCCTACCCATACTCCTCCATCATCCTACCTCCTCTGCCCTCCTCCTCCATCCTCCTCCGCTCTCCTGCCTCCTCCTCCCCCTCCTCCGCCTCTTCCTCCTCCTCCCTCCTCCTCCTCGCCCCTCCGCCTCCTCCTCCTCCTCCTCCTCCTCCTCCTCCTCCTCCTCCTCCTCTTCCTTGTCTTCTTCCTCAGGCAAGAGAATCGATGCCTACGCTTGGGGAAAAGGTGAGAAAGAGCAGGACGGAAACGGCGGCGACGAGGACCCCCCAGACCACGAGCCACGCAGAGAGGGTAACCCTAAGCCCACGCACCCCCCCTAAGAGGGGGGACGCAGGAGAGGAAGCGAGAAGAAAAGGAGGAGGGCCCGCAGGGGGGGAGTTTGGGCTATGAGCGCCCTAGACGGCACCGGCCCACGAGGGCCGACCGCGGGCCATGCACCCAGAGATTCGAGCCGAGACCAGGAGCCACATCCATCCACATGGTTCCAGCACGCCACTGGCCCACACTGTACCTCACACAAGTGGATACAGAAGGCCACATGCAAGGTCGTTATGCAACATGCGGCGCAATCGTTTGACGCCTCACTGCTGAACTGGATTCCCCGCTGCTCTAAGTGCTCACTTGATCCGGGTCCCTCCAGCTGACCGAAGTGTCCCAAGTGCCAGCTTTTGATGATGCACAGAGAGAAACCCACGATCTTGAACCTCGCGAACAAAGATGCCGAACGCTTCATGGAGAACGCCGACTGATGATACGGGAAGCTGCGGTCCTTCAGCGGCTGCGCGCCTGAAGAGCTCCAGGGGTGACACTGTGGCCTCGCACGGTTGCTGCTCAGCCTTCGCTACACACTCGTGCTCGAATGACTCCAGACTTGCTTCGATCCTCGCATGTGGGAAGGGCGCTCCAAGCCTGACTGTGCTCCGGAGCAGGGCCGAAGACAGGAGCATCAGGGCGGCGATGCCTGGACGTTATCGCGCCCAGAGCCGCGGCCTCCTGCAGAGGCTCTCCGGCGTCGCAGCAGGTAGAGCCTGCAGCCGATGGCGCCGAGGAGGGAGCTCTGGAAGCGCAGGGCGCGGGCCTCCCCCCCGCGCTCCTCCTCCACTGGCTTGTCCTCCACCCAGTCCTGGTCCCGGGTGCCACTTTCGCGAGGATCTTGAAGAGGGCCTGGAATTTGGACGCCCGAAATGGGTACTGAAAGAATGGGTACAATGCCCAACAACAATTCCTGTTCATTTTCAACAGGATTCGCTGTCCACGCCGCCGCGGCCTGTGTCCATTCGAGACAGAAGGCCGCCTGCCCAGCAGCGGCCGCTGTTGGCTTGGGACAACATTTGTTGTTGGGCATAGTGCCCATTCTTTCCGTGCCCATCTCGGGTGTCCAAATGGAAGGACGTGGCGGACAGGCGGACCGCCGGCAGCAGGGCGCATGGGTGCCAGCCACACCTGGACAACAGAGGTGCCGTCGCTGTGGAGAGGCCCCCGATCCACAGCTGAAAAGGTCGGGAGCTCCTCTAGGATTCGGGGATGGACAGACCTCCCTTTAGTGAAACGTGGTTTAGTGAAAACGACCTGAGGCCCAAACCTGGCGGGCGCAAGCCTGGAAAATAACGGCCACGGCGCCCCCTCGAGAACCGAAAACGGACAATTCACTAATCGACGTGTCACTGTTGGGGGTTCTGTCCATCCCCGAGAACAGGCGGACCGCCGGCAGCAGGGCGCATGGGTGCCAGCCACACCTGGGCAACAGAGGTGCCGTCGCTGTGGAGATGCCCCCGGTCCACAGCTGAAAAGGTCGGGAGCTCCTCTGGGATGGCCTTCACAGTCGCCCGTATCGCAGCAGTCTGAACGGCGCCCGCCTTGGACACAGTGGCAGGGGCGACGACAAACTTGAGCTTGGCCTTTTCTGAGTCTCGGGCGCGGCTGACGGCGAAGTGGACGTTCCGTCCGGAAGCGGACTGTCTAAGAACCCATTCGAGTCGAGCAGCGACCACCATGGCGCGCGGGGGGGACAAACTACCACCGAAACCAAAGCAAAGGGAAGAGAACATGGACTCGGCCCCCCACACATCTACGCGATGGGCGGCCTCATCAAAGGACTCATGACGTACGGAGACAAACTCGGAGCCCAGAACCACGCGGATCTTACGACTGCATGGTCGGAGTACGGCGGCTACGGAGTCGAGCAGAAGTGCGAGCTCATTCTATTCTGCCGCCAGGACAAGGTCTACCAGAAAGATCGTCGCAGGATCACTTTCGCGACCAGGGACCCGAAGTTCAGGACGACGCTCTTGGCCTGCCTCTCCCAGGTTCCACACACTACGAGGAAGTTCGGCCGAGCCCCCGCATCGTTCATGGAGCGCGAGATCCAGACCTTCCTGGAGGCCTTGCTGAAGTATGCCCCCTCTTTGCTCAGCAGCGTGGCGCAAGCCAGATTCTGGGATCCGTCGGTAACGGTGACCTGCCTGCTAAGAGGGGGCCCACAGATCCTCCTGAAGTATGCCCCCCCTTCGTTCAGCAGCGTGGCGTGAGCCAGATTCTGGGATCCGCTGGTGACGGTGACCTGCCTGCTGAGGGGGGGGCCCTTCGCTCAGCAGCATGGCGCAAGCCAGGTTCTGGGATCCGTCGGTGACACTGACCTGTCTGCTGAAGGGAGGCCCAGCGAGGATGATGATGATGAAAACGATTGTTACTTGAGGAGGTCAACCGTGTGCAAACAGCGTTCACTATAGATGAGATTGGGTTGTGTTCTGGACCTGAATCTCGAATTCCCGAACCTGTTGCGTATATCGATTTGGTCGAGCATCTACCTACGTCCGCTTTCAAACCTCCGTCGACATTGACTGGGGCCAGCTCGTCAACTTCTTCAACTAGGCCCGTGAGCCACTTTGTGCCCTCTGTTTTTTTCTCCTCCCTCGCTGGCCCCTCTCGAGCCTCGGAGCCTCCCTTGACCTCCTAGAACCGACAAGCAAATAATTACTGAGCATCTGGCCTCTCGAGGGATCTACCCATGGTCTCAGAGGTTTGCCAGTCTTGCTAACAGTCGAAACATTCTTGACATTGCTAAACAAGCGGTCAACCCTGAATAATCCCGCCCCAGTCTCCTGTGGCTACCTTATGCGTCGGTGGCTGCAGGGGCCAGGACGGCCCCAAGGACGGGGCCACGTCTGCGACCCTGGTGCTTAGAGCCTGGCATAGGCACCCATTCCAGAGGGAAGGTTCACCGCGTCATTAGCATCCAGTCAGTCTTGAATGTATCAGGGCCCACTGCTGCGCGATTTTGAAGCTCAGTGAGTACAGTACCCACAGGACACTCAGACAACATGGCGTTAAGGGTGTGCGTATCGTATCGTATCCTCCTCCTCCTCCTCCTCCTCCTCCTCCTCCTCCTCCCTCCTCCTCCTCCTCCTCCTCTCCCCTCTCCCCCCTCCCCTCCCTCCCCCCCCCCCTCCCCTCCCCCTCCCCCTCCTCCTCTCTTCCTTCCTCTCCTCCTCCTCATCTCATCCTCATCCTCATCCTCATCCTCCTCCTCCTCTTGAAGTTTCGCAAACCTGGTGCAACAGCATGTGTCGTTCTTCCGCCTCGTCCTCCTCATCCTTCGCCTCCTCCTCCTCCTCCTCCTGTCCCCGCCTCTGTCTCCTCCTCCCCCTGCTCCCCTCCCCCTCCCACTCCCCAATTCCTCTTTCTCATCCTCCTCCTCCTCCTCCCACCCTCTTCCTTCTCCTCTCTCCGCGCCCCTCCCCCCCTCCCCCTCCCCCACCGTCTCCTCCTCCTCCTCCTCGTCCTCCTCCTCCTTCTCCTCCTCCTCCTCTTCCTCCTCCTCCTCCATTCGTTTTCCAAATAAATAACGTAGCCCTGTCGCACCCTGAGACTTTCTCTTAAAATATGGCCCTGACGCTTCAACGCGCCGCGCGCATTCGTTTCAAACATTTGCAAGTGTTTCACTGATTGAGGGCGGGGCGTCTTCAAAATGTGGCTCTAGCCTGAACGCCGCGCAGATTCGTTTTAAACCTTGGCAGCAATTTCACAGATGGAGGGCGGGTCGTTTTCAAAATGTGGCTATCGTCTTAGCGCGGCGTGCACTCTTTTACAACATGGGCAATCGGTTCATAGATTGAGGGCGAGTTGTTTTCAAAATGTGGTTCTCGCCTGAGCTCCTCGCACGTTCGTTTCAAACAGTTGTAAGAAATTCACAGGTTGAGGGGGGATGGTTTTCAATATGTGGCTCTCGCTTTAGCGCCGCGCACACTCGTTGAAACAGTTGTGAGAAATTCATGGATTCAGGGCGGTTTCTTTCAAAACGTGGCTCCCGCCTCAGTGCCGCGCACAATCCTTTTTACAACTTGTCAGAGTGTCACGGCTTCTCATGGTCAACGTACCGGGCATGATTACTTCGATTCGCGGTGTTGAAAGCCCAGGAATTTCATTCCGGCGCGATTCTGGACCGTCAAGACGCAACAGTCACGTTGATCCGTGGCGTTGGACTTCCGAGGAAAATGTTGTGGCACGCTTCAGGCTCTTCAAACGGTTGTCTTCCAACGAGGCAGTTCCCTCAGTGGAAATGAGCCCCCGTATGGGGCCCGTGAAGAGGGAGCTTGGAGGAAGGGTAGATTCCAACATCCTTGATGACTCTTGGGCTTACACTGCTCCTCCTCCTCCTCCTCCACCTCGTCCTCCTCCCCCTCCTCCCCCTCCTCCTCCCCCTCCTCCTCCTCCTCCCGCCCGTGGCCAGGCCAGGCACGGTGGTGGCGCACGGATGCCCCGTGCGGATCCTGCGCCCAGCACGTCCGCCGCGCCCGCGGAGAACGTCAGCGTCTCGCCGAAGCCCCACGCGGCCGGCGGCTGCGCAGGACGCCCGCCGGCGGCCGCGGGGCGGCTCGCTGCGGCCGCGCCCGGCGGCCGCGAGCGCTGGAGGTCGCCGAGCTCGGTCTCCTTGCGCGCGCCGCCGACCACCACCTCGACGCGAGGCCGCTGCCGCGCCAGGAGCCCGGGCTCCTCCAGGCCGGCGGCGGAGACGGAGTGGACGCGCACGCGCAGCTTGAAGGGCCTGCCCTCGGGGGCGGCCACGCGGACGGCTGGCAGCGCCACCTCTAGGGGGAAAACAAACCGACCTCGCTTTTGACCACCCTCGCTTCCAAGAGATACCAAACGATGCCAAATTGCAGCCTGTACTGGTCAAGCCGCTTGACGAGGCGCGTGGTATGGCTTGGTTTTGCCTGGAAGCGAAAGCGGGGTAGGTAATTCACGCTCCGAACCTCGCCGAGCCGCTGGGCCACCCAGAGGCCGGCGCCGAACGCGGCGGCGGACTGGCACATCGCGCCCTGCCTCCGAGCTCGGCGAGGGCTGCCCTGCCGCCCGTCGGCGTCCTCTGCGTCTGCGGCGCGACCAGGGCAAAGCGGGCTGCGCCCTTTCGCCGCGCGCTTTTTGGGGCGGGTGGGGCGGAGAAGGCCCAGACTCGTGCCAGAACTCCTTGAGCCGGAAGGGCCATGGATTTTTTTTTTACAGCGCAATATTTTGGAGAGGGGGGGAAAGGCCTTTTGGAGAGGGGGGGAAAGGCTTTTGGAGAGGGGGGGAAGGCATTTTGGAGAGGGGGGGAAAGGCAGCCGGAAGGGCCATGGATGGTACCAGTCGAGTTTTTGACGCATCGAGCGATCCACCGATCAATCACCAAATTCGGTATCGCCTGTCTGAAAGCGTGGCACCAAAACACTGGCGGAGAGGTCAGCGCATGTAAGACCAAACCGTATCTACGCCCCGGGGAAACTCTTCACTGAGCACACGCCGTAATGGTCTGGACGGCTAGCGCTTACCGACCCAGCGAAATCAATTATATCAAAATGGCCCCTCTGGGCCCGCCGTAGACGAAGGAAAAAGCGCGCGGTTAGGAGGACGAGTAAGACCAAGGGGAAAGACAATGCGTCGCGCTTGCACCTCCGGTGGTGCAACCGACAACGTGGCAAGACCCGACACAACGGCCAAAGAGAAACAAAACAACCCAATTCACTTCAACTTCCCGTGTTTCAATCACGCTACACGTGCATGGAGAGGAGGGAGAGGAATTGAGACATTGTGTCGTTTGTGCGAAGCGGTGTGGTGTATTTGATGTTATGCTGGGTCGGCTGTTGTTTTGTCATGTCGGCAACCCCCGTATTAGCTTGGGCCGCAAATGCGCCGAAGCATGACGGTTCGTGCAATGGCGGGCCCTGATGATGGCGCAATCGTGATACGTTGTGGTTCGCATCTGCTCTTCATCCTCATGCGCAAGATATACAGGTCATCGATATGGTCCATACCTACTCTGGCTCGTCAGTCTCCACTTGTTTTCAAATAGTCCCTGCCATTCCATCGCCATTTCCGGCATCCTTGTAGGCGCTACTAGCGCGACTGAACGGCAAAATATTATGGTCGACCATTCGGCTCTTTGTGTATATGTACGGTACCCGCTATATTCATTGCAATGCTCGACCCGATGTTTTCCTGCGTCGGCATCATTGCAGTCGCTGATACGACTGAACTGGATACTTTGCTGGTCGATCATTTGGCGCCTTCTATATACACGGAGCCCAAGATATTAATTTCAATGCTCGTCCCGTTGTTCTCCTGCGTCGTCATCCTTGTAATCGCTGGCACGACTGAACTGGATACTTTGTTGGTCCATCGTTTGGCGCCTTCTATATGTACGGAGCCCATGGTATTCATTGCAATGTTCGTCCCGCTGTTCTCCTGCGTCCGTTCGCGATGCAATGCGGTGGATTTGACGTTCTGCTGGGTCGCTGATTGCGCGCACGACCCGGACTGGTTTAGCCACAAATGTGCCAAACTATGTCTGCTATTGCAGTGGCACGACCGGTCGAGGGCGCAGTAGCGACACGGTTTGGTGATTATCTTTTGTATCCAGCTTCATGCGCAGCAATGACAAAAACATCCCAAGATTTCAATCACGCGTCGGGTGAAAAAAGAGAAAAAGGGGAGGAAAGAAGGCATGTGTCAAGCGTGCTGCAACTGCGTGTAGCACTGGGGGGTGGAATTCCCCTCATACGTTATGCTCCACGAGATGGAGCGAGGGGCTTACGAGCGCGCCCAGTTGTGCTGCAAGTGGAGCACGATCCGCACGATCGGTGTGCTGAAATATGAACGGCGCCGCCATACAAACTGGCCCACTTGGGCCATGGGTGGGGTGCGTGGTCGGGCACGATCCCACCGAGTGGTGTGCCGAAATGAGCGCACCGCCGACGTGTACCTTGCTGAATGCGGCCGCAGATGAAGCTCCCTACGGAACACGACCCGCGTGTGGGGTGCACTGCAATGGGCGCGGAGAAACCCTGTAAACTGTCCCTTCTGGGGACGTGGGTGGAGCATATAGTGGAACACAAACTGTTCGAGAGGTGCGCCGAAATTAACACGAGCCACGTAGGATCCCCGTGGGAGCACGTAACGTGTGTGGAGTGTGTCGCAATAGGTTGGGTGGAGCTTCGCGAAAAGTGTGAGAGGTGTGCCGACATGGGCGCGGGGCGGCATGCGCAACACCTACAGTATGTGGAAGACGCAGGTGCAACGAAACTTGGAACGTCAACGACCCAAATGCACGAAAACAACATACATACTGACAGCGCCGTCACCAGGACAAACTGCTGCAATGCCTCCACGTTTCGGCAAACCTATGGCCGACTCCGAATCGGGGTGTGCCGACGTGGTATCTGGCATCCGCTTGATCGATGTTGTGCAGGATGGGCGTCCGAGCAGGGGCCGAGCAGGCATCTACGAGTAGAAAGGGGATCCACCGACCCCTTGGGGTCGAACGCCCAAACCAGCTACTTTCACGAATGATTTGGCCACATGTTGGCCTCCCGGAGGGGGGGCCTAATTCAGTAGCCCCCTCCGTTGGTCAATCTCCTCCAATATGGCCCCAAGATGGCCTCCGAGGCTCCCCAGGGTGCCCCAAGACGGCCCCAACAGATGCCCAGGAGGCCACAAGAGACCCCCAAGAGGCCCCGAAGATGCTCCAAAAGACCCCCAAGAGGCCCCTTCAAGAGGCCCCAAGAGGTCTCCAGGAAGCACCCATGACGCACCAAGAGGTTTCGGCCAGAAGGCCAGAATCAGCGATTTGATTAAAGCTTTGACCACATGTTGGACTCCTGGGGGGGACCCGAAGTAAGGATCCCCCCTCCTATGACCGATCTCCTCTAAGATGGCCCCGACCCAGGCTCCCGGGGGTGCCCCAACACGGCCCCACCACGTGCCCAGGAGGCCCAAGGGGCCCAGAAGATGCCCATAAGAGGCTCCTAAAAGACTCCCACTAGGCCGCCCAGAGGTGCCCCAAGACGCCTCAAGAGGCTTGCAGAAATCCCAAGAGACCCCAAGACGCCCCAAGAGGACTTCAAGAAACTCCCGAACAAAAATCCGAAGAGACTCCAAGAGGCATCCGAGAGACCTCTGGTCTTCCTTTCCTCCCTCCCCCTCCTCCTCCTCTTCCTCCTCCTCTTCCTCATCCGCCTGTTCCTTCTCATTCCTCCTCCCTCATATCCCTCCCCCTCTCCCGACTCCCCCCCCTCCTTCTGCTCCTCTTCCGATTCCTCTTCAATCCTCCTCCTCTTGGGGTACCACGTCTTACCCAGCCCTTTGTGCCACTGCATTCTCCACCACATCTCTGATCACGGCAACTCGTCTGGACATCGGTTCTGGATGGGCTGGAGGAATTGCGCGAAGCGTCTAGAATAAACATCTCTGCACCGACCCTGTTCGAACTACGAGCCCAAACGCTTGCCGATCAACACAACGATGCAGTGATGATCGCATGCATGTGACAACCAATGCCATACTCAAGCTAGACAGGGCAGCTAATCATGCAGAAAACCAACCCACCAATGTAGGGGAGGAACGAAGAGAACAGCGGCGAAGACGACGAGGAGGAGGGCAGAGAAAGACGACGACGACGACGACGACGATAGACGCCAGAGGAGGAGTTGGGGTACCCAGGGGAGGCGCGAGTCACTTCGGGGCACTGGCGTTAGGTCGGGCATGTCCCCCGACAGGCAGATTTTGGAGGGAAAATAAAAAATAGCCAAAGCATACTCACACATGATGAGAAATACTAGAAAAATCGCCCCCAGACTATATGTTGACTATTTTCGAATATTCCTCCTGTAGAGGGACATGCCCGACTTCACACTAGTGGGGGCAGCGGAAGCTGGCCTCATGGCAGGAAGTCGTAGGCCTTGCAGTGTCGGAGGAGAGGAGGAGGATCACGACGACGACGACGACGACGACGACGACGACGACGACGACGACGAGGACGACGCGGACGACGACGACGAGGACGACGACGAGGCGAAAGGCGAGCCGCAGCCCTGGCGCCGCGCGGCCTCTCCGGAGGAGCCGTGCCCGCTGCCGGCGTCGCACAGGAAGCTGCACAGGGCCAGCACGCTCTGCTGCGACAGCACCGCGTGCATCTCCTCGGCTGCATCGACGCCGTCGTCGTCGATCGAGGATCGGGAATCGGGCTGCATCGGCACGGAGCCGAAACCAAATCGGAGCGGCTGCGCCAGGATGAACAACGGCGCCATGCAAACGTCTGCCCGCATGCAGACGTCTGCCCGCACCGGATCGTCGGCATGTCGGCGAACCGAATCGGATCGAAGGTCCAGGCTCGAGGGTCGAGGCTCTCAGACGTGTTGGGCCCCCCTCGATGCTTCTGGAGGCGCCCGGAGGCCTGCGGACACCCCGGACTCGATCCTCCGACGCAGCGATTGCCAGCCATGCTGTGGTGCCGGGTCCTCGTCTTGAAGAGACAGCGCCCCACGTCTCCGCACCTGGGCGGAGGTATACCGTGCTGTATCTCCCCAATCAGTGTCTACTCTAAGGGGACCTAGCGGACACAGAGAAGATTGGCGAAAATAGAGCGGGCCGAGTTCGGTGGGCGGCTCTCGGTGGACGGCTTTCGGCGGGCGCCCTCTCAAGAGATTTGCGAAGCAGCCGGTCGATTTCGGTGGGCGGTTCTCGGTGGGCGGCTGCCGGTGGGCGCCCCTTCTCTCTCTGTCTCCCTGTTGTTATGATGCTGATGTTTTTTTTCTCCGTGTAATGCAATATCCCTCCCATCCCCTCTCTCTCTATCCATCTCTCTCTCTCTCTTTCTCGCTCCTGGCAGTTCTTCATATATGTCTCCCTCTTTGATGCGCTCGGACTTATATCTAAATGCGTATGTATGCCTTTACCTGTTTCTATATGTATTATATATAGTCTTCTCTCTCTTTCGGTAATTCTTGAGATCTGTTCGGAACTTTCGGGCCATCCACTGATTGGGGGTTTTCCCTCGTGTGATATTTTTGGGGGGTATATCGTATACACCCGCTGGTCCGCGAAGGAATCAGCCGACCACTCAGCGTGTGTGAGCCGTAGTAGTTAAGTCGAAGGGAGCCCCCTTATCTTTGATCCCTTCCCTGTCTGGGGGGGTGGGGTATTCCGACTGATCCCATCCAGCTGGGACCAATCCAAACAAACGTGTCTCTCTTTCTCCAGGCATCACGACAAGACAAACTAGCACGATTTCGAACCGGCCAAGTAACCTCACCATGTGATATGAGTTTTGAGGCGATGTGCAGAAATCCCAGAACCAAATGGTCGGATTATGTGTGCACATGTGTTCCAGAGGCTGACACTACTGCCCGGCATGGAATTGGTACCAAAAAGACTTGCGATGCTGTGGACCTGAAGATACGGATGTGGATTGCGGTGTTACTGAAAAACTAGACCTTATGAAAGAACAGCGCAATGTGAAATTCGCTGGTCCCTCATCGGGGCCACCAGGCCACGCATGAGAGGTTTGTGAAGCTTTGTCGTGTTGTCTCCTCCCCAGTTCCCCCTCCTCCTCCTCCTCCTCCTCACCTCCTCCACCTCCTCCTCCTCCTCGTCCTCCTCCTGTTCCTCTATCATCCTTCTGCTGCACCAGCAAAAAATTGTGCACCACAGCACCCGCGTGCACCGCAGTACCCGTGTACATTCCTGACGATTCTTATTGATTCGTTCAGATCCTTCAGGGTGCCGTAGGACTGGTCCCTTCGGATTCCTTCGGATGCATTCGGATTTCTCTGGGATCCGTCGCATTGTGTACGGCTCCTCCCATTAATTCCTCCAGATTCAGCGGGCTTCCCTCAGAATTCGCAAGATGCCTTCTCAATCCCTGGTGGTTCTATCGGGTTCCATGGGGACGTTGGGTTCCTGAGAGAGGAACTACGATTCTTTAAGCTTTCTCTCAGACACCTCTGAAAGACACCTGTATGACCTCAAAGGCGCATGTAGGAGGCGCTTGCCAGGCGCCCCTCGGAGGCGCCTGTAAGATGACTGTCAGAAGCGGATGTAAGAATCGCATGTAGGACGCTTGTCAGAGGTGCCTGCAAAAGACGTCTGTAAGACGCTTGGAAAACGTCCCTTCAGAAGCGCCTGTACGATACCGGCATGGCACCTCTCAGAGGCACCAGTATAACACCCTCAGCGGCGCCTGTAAGACGCCTGCAAGAAACGCCTCTTGAGGCGTCTGCAAGATGCCTCTCAGCGACGCTTACAATACGCCTCGCACAGGCGCCTGTGAAACGCCTATACGACGTCTCTCAGAGACGCGTGCAAGACGCAACGCAGAGGCGCGTGCAAGACGCCTGTAAAGTACCTCAGAAGCGCCTGTAAAAACACATCTCAGAGGCAACTGTGAGACGCATGCTTAACACCTCTCAGCGGCGCCTACTCGACACCTCTCAGTGGCACCTGCAAGAAGCCTATACTATACGCCTCTCAAAGGCACCTATAAGACACCCCATCCAAGGGCGCCTGTAAGACGCCTCGCAAAAGGGCCTGTGAGGCGCATGTAAGACACCTCTCAAATGCGCCTGTAAGACGCCTCTCAGCAGCGCCTGTAAGACGCCTGTAAGACGCCTGTATGGGGCGCCTGCGAGACGTCTGCAAGAGCCGCCTCGCAAATGCGCCCGTAAGACGTCTCGCAGAGGCGCCTGCAGGAGGCCTCGCAGACGCCTCGCAGACGCCTCGCAGACGCGCCTGTGAGACGCCGGTAAGACGCCTCGGCGAGGCGCCTGTGAGACTCCTCGCAGAGGCGCCTGTGGGAGGCCTGTGCGACGCCTCGCAGAGGCGCCTGCACGACGCCTGTAAGGCGCCTGCAAGACGCCTCGTAGACGCCTCCCAAAGGCTTGTCATCTAGGTTGGTTGGAATCAATACCGAAGTGGATGGACATTGTTGCGTTGGGGTGTAATTCGTTCCATTGCCCAGCGGGGGGGGGATACAAAGGTGGGTCCTGGGTCAGGATACCATCCCCCCAGGGGGGCGGGGGGTCCAGGAGCCCCAAAAAGCTCCAAGACAGGCCAAGAGTGCCCCGAGAGGCCGCCAAGACGGCCTAAAAGGGCCCGAATCGTCGACCGATCGGCCCAAGACGCCCAAGATGCCCTCCACACATCCTGAGAGGCCTCCGAGACGCCCCAAGAGGCCTCGAAGAGCACTTCCACGAGGGCCGGCCCCACGAGGCAAACTTCATGAATTTGTTTTTTCGATTTTTGATAGATGTGGGCGTTCTGGTCTTTTCGGCTTCCCGCCGCTCCAAGGCAGCCCAAGAGGCCCCCAAGATCGCCCCAAGACGGGCCAAGAGGCCCCCGAGACAGCCCCCCGGAAGCCCCTAAGAGCCAAGAGAGGCCCCCAAGAGGCCCCCGACAGGCCCTCAAGTGGCCCCCAAGAGGCCCCAAAAGTGCCCCCCAGAGGCCCCCGAGAGCGCTCCGAAGAGTCCCCAAGAAGCATCCCTCTGACCCGCGTCAGCGGCGTCGTCGTCGCCGTGATGGTGGCCTCGGCGGTGGGATCTATGATCCCCCTGCGAGGGCGGCCTCGACAAGTCAGGGCCACCCATCGAAAAAAACTCTGGGCAGATTTGCTGCAGGGCGGGTGTCGTACTATTGCTCGCGACCCCAGAGATCGGGCGGGTATCGTATTCTGGGCGAGGTTCAGAAGGGGAGAAAGATGAGAAGGAAGAGGGGGAGGAGGAGGAGGAGGAGGAGGAGGAGGTGGAGGAGCAGGAGAAGGAGGAGGCAGTGGAGGAGAAGGAGAAGCGGAGGAGAGGAGGAGAGGAGGAGGAGGAGGAGGAGGAGGAGGAGGGAGGAGGAGGAGGAGGAGGAGGAGGAGGAGGAGGAGGAGGAGGAGGAGGAGGAGGAGGAGGAGGAGGAGGAGGAGGAGGAGGAGGAGGGAGAGAAGGAGGAGGAGGAGGAGGAGGAGAGGAGGAGGAGGAGAGGAGGAGGAGGAGGAGGAGGAGTGTGGATGGAGGTGTGGATGGAGGAGGAGAGGAGGAGGAGGAGGAGGAGGAGGAGGAGGAGGAGGAGGGAGGAGGAGGAGGAGGGAGGACGAGGAGAAGAAGGAGGAGGAGGAGGAGGAGGAGGAGAAGGAGGAGGAGGAGAGAGAAAGCGAGAAAGAGGAGGGAGGAGGAGGAGGAGGAGGAGGAGGAGGAGGAGGAGGAGAGGAGGGGAGAAGAGGAGAGAGAGAGAGAAAGAGGGAGAAGGAGGAGGAGGAGGAGAGGAGAGGAGGATGGAGGAGGAGGAGGAGGAGGAGAGAAGAGGATGAGGGAGGAGGAGGAGGAGGGAGAGAAGAGAGAGAGAGAGAAAGAGAGAGAGAGGAGGAGGAGGAGGATGAGGATGAGGAGGAGGAGGAGGAGGAGGAGGAGGAGGAGAAAAAGGAGGAGAAAAGGAGGAGGAGGAGGAGGAGGAGGAGGAGGAGAAAAGGAGGAGGAGGAGGAAAAAGGAGGAGGAGGAGGAAGGAGGAGGAGGAGGAGGAGGAGGGAGGAGGAGAGGGGAGGAGGAGGAGGAGGAGGAGGAGGAGGAGGAGGAGCAGCAGCAGCAAAAGGAGGCGGGAGGCGGGAGACGGACGCGGGAGGCGGGAGGAGGTGGAGGAGGCGGGAGGAGTGCGGAGGAGAGTGCAGGCGCAGAGAGTGGGAGCAGGCCCTCGACATGCCCCATGGAATCAGGTCCTGCAGCTCGTTCAAGACCACGCCAGTGCAGCAACGACTGCCCGTAGCCGTACGGGCGTGCTCCCCAACGCAGAGAACACCAGGCATGGCAGAGGCCTGTGTTCTCCCAGCGCAAAGCGCGCGAGACCATCGCAGGTTCGCTCCATGACACAGACCTCGAATCCATTTGTAGGGGAACAAAAAGTGGCATAAACATAAAACTTCGGAGGTCCGCGCGGATTTCTCGGATCGGCGCCGGACCCCCCTCCCTGGCGCGCGGAGCGCGCTAGGGGCGGCGCCAGAGGCGCCGCCAGGGGGCCCCAGCGCCGATCCGAGAAATCCGCGCGGACCTCCGAGTTTTTATGATTATGTCACTTTGGGTTCCCGTAATCTGATAGGGATCAGATGGACGAGCAGCAGACACATGCGGAGGGGGTAACAGAACAAGGGTAACAATGAGGTCGGGCATGTCCCCCTACAGGCGGATTTTGAACGAAAGATTCAAACATAGCCCCCCCCAAAAAAAACAAGATCGGCGAAACCTGATTGACAAATCGTCTTGTGACTATTTTTTGATATTCTTGAACATTCCCCCTGTAGAGGGACACGCCCGACTTAAGGCAACAAGGGAAAAAGGAGCAGCATGGACGGAGGGAGCGCAAGGCAGAGGGGGGGTGAAAGAGGCAACGGACGAAGGAGGTGGAGGTGGGCGGAGAGCCGCGAGCGCGACGACGGCGAGCGGAGATCTCCGAAGATCCCTTGGGGCCTCCGGAGTTCCGAGGAGGCCTCTGAAGGCCTCCGCTGGGGGCTCAGGAAGCATCTGGAAGCCCAGACAGGCAAAACGCCCAGACATCTCGATCCGACAGAGCGGCGGCAGCGACGGCCGACGAAAAAGTCCGTTCAGGAAAAAACCTGGGCCCCTCCCGGGGACCAGCCTGGCAAGTCTTTCGAGAACCCGTCGAGAATTCCCCCAAACATCCGAACTAACCACGACGATAACGTCGGCTAAAGGCTCCTTCGTAATTCCCGCCCATCGCTTGGAGTTCGCGCTGCCCGCGGCGGGCGGAACCACCTGCGCGGGATTCGGACGCGGGGGTGCCGGCCACCTGCGTGTACTTCTCCCTCTTACCGCACCTCCTCCCTCCTCCAGCCTTCTTCCCTTCGTCCTCCCTCCTCCTCCTCCTCCTCCTCTTCCTCCTCCTCCTCGTCATCATCACCACCATCATCAACATCACCATCAGTATCATCATCAGCATCAGCATCCGCATCATCAACATCATCAACAGCATCATCAATATCATCAGCAGCATCATCACCATCACCATTATCGATATCAATGTTGTCATCGTCGCTAACTTTCACATCAGCATCATTACCAGTATCAGCATCATCATCCTCATCAGCATCGTCATTATCATCATCATCCTCATCATCCTTATCGTCCCCATCAACAGCATGGTCATGATCAACATCACCACCATCATCAGCATCAGCATCATCATCATCATCATCATCATCATCATCATCATCATTATCATCATCACCACCATCATCATCGCCATCATCACCATCAGCATCAGCACCAGCACAGTCACCACCATCATGATCAACATCATAAACACAATCGTCATCGTCGTCATCATCCATCCGTCGATCCATCCATCCATCCATCCATCCATCCATCCGTCCATCTATCCATCCACCCGTCCGTCCATCCATCCATCCTCCTTCCTCCCACCTTCTCCCTCATCCCTCCTCCTCCTCCTCCTCCTCCTTCTCCTCTTTTCCCACCCTCCCACCCTCCCAGCCTCCCTCCCTGCCCTCCTCCTCCTCCTCCTCCTCCTCCTCCTCCTCCTCCTCCCGCCCTCCTCCCCACCCTCCCCATCTACCTCATTCCTGCCTCCTCCGATATGTCTGCGAGCCTCCTTGCCTACCGACCTGTACACTACCCTCCCCTTTCTCCTGCTATCCCCTCATCCTCCTGTCCGTTCCTGTCGTCCTGATGTCCTTCGGTCCACCTCGCTCCTCCCTCCTCCGGTTGCCCTTTCCCGCCTCACGGTGTCTCTGTGGTACCGTGATTCAGCCCTCCTCCCTCTTTCGGAGGCGTCAGGGGGGCGCCCAAGGGGGGGGGCGGGGGGGGGGCGCAAATCGTGGCTGGCGGCATGTGCGCGGCCCAGAAGGTGCGCCGGGGACGGATTGAAAGAAGAAGGGGCGCAATGACATCCGGGGAGAAATCGTGGCCCCCGCCATGAGATCCCCCCCCCTGCAGTCGAAATCTATAGTAAGGATGGGCGGTCAGGACGCCAATGGGCCTTGGACGCCGAAGTTGGCACGTGTTCGGCGGCGGACTGCCGGCACCCCCCGGAAGGGCTGGCGGGGGAACACCGCGAAGGACGAGCCGCGGAGGCCGGGACGCAGGGGCACCCGTAGGGACAGCCGTGCGTCCCTCCTCCTCCTCCTCCTCCTCCTCCTCCTCCTCCTTTTCCTTTTCCTCCTCCTCCTCCCCCTCCTCCTCCTCCTCCTCCTCCTCCTCCTCCTCCTCCTCCTCCTCCTCCTCCTCCCCCCCTCCTAGCCGCCCCCGACGCTGATCCGCGGAGCATCTTTCCGAGGCCCTTCTGGGGGGGACCAGCCCCTGGCCCGCACCTCTCGGGGGCCGCCCCGGCCGCGGCGACGAGAGCCACCGGAAACGGCCCCCACCCCCCCTCCCAAACAACACGACGACGACGACGACGACGACGACGACGACGACGACGGACGACGACGACGACGACGACGGCGACGACGACGACGACGGAGGAGGTGGCCCCGCCCAGATACCTCTCCAAGGCTGAGATCTGACCGAAAGTCCGAAGGGGGAATCTGGCCGCGGCGACGAGGAGCCTCCTGGAGGCCCCCCCCCCCACCCCCCAACAAAAGCACCACGTCCGAAACACATCTCCCCCAGCTGAGGGCCTTCTGCGGTCCATGGGGCACAACGTGCGCGAGGGGTGTGCCGAATCGAGGCTCCAGGGAGCCGTCTCGGGGGCCGGCTGAGCGCCCAACATCCACGAAGCGCGTGAGGGGTGTGCCGAATGGGGGCCCTCATCAAAGCGGAAGGGCAGTTCACATGTTCTTGTTCCAGAAAACCCCAGGAGCCTCGAGGCCCGGATTGCTAGTTTCTAAACTTGCCCCATGAGCCTGAGGAGTGCAGATCACTCGTATTGTCACGTCTCCCGATCGAGTGTGGCGCAGGACATGTGTAAGAGGTATCTCGAACTGAGACCTTCGTTGTCCCTCGGAGCGCAGATCATTCGAATTTTCACATGTCCAATAGAATGTGGAGCAGGACATGCGTGAGGAGCGTGCCGAAATGGCAGTGTCGTGCTCTCCCCTCCCACCTCCCTCCCTACCGCCCCAGGAGGCGCTGAGCGCATTCTTCGGGCGCCGTTTTGCAGCGCCTGGACATTAGACTTGGAAAGCAAGCGTTAACCAATCTCGTCTTTCCAGTGACCCCCGGTAGATGCTTAGACTCACTGTCTGATTGCCGCTGGCTCCTCCGGCGTGGCAAGCACGCTTCCCTCTGCTGAGCCGCTGTGTCGTGCGACCTGGCTTGCGAGCGCACGGACGATGCCAACAAAAACCTCGCTCCTCGGAGCTCGCGCGGCGGCGACAGCGGCGGCGTCGCCAGGCGGCCGACGGGGCCTTGGCGACGACCGCCGCTGGAGCCGCGGGCGTCCCAGAGGGGGGCGCCTCTGGCGGGGCCTCCTGGGCTCAGAGGCCCCCGAGCCATCGTCGTCGCCGCCCTCGCCGCCGCCGTCGTGGCCGCCGCCGCTGCAGCCGCCGCGGCCAGGGTCGTCGTGATCGTTGTGGTCGTGGTCGTCGCCGTCACCGCCGTCGCGGCCGCCGCCACCGCCGCCGCCGCCGCCGTGGTCTTCTTCGTTGCGGTCGTCGTCGTCGCCGCCGCCGCCCTCGCCGCCGCCGCCGCCGTTGTCGTCGTGGCCGTCGTCGCCGCCGCCGTTGCGTGACCAGCCCGCGGAGGCCGCGGACGCGCCAGCGGGCGCGACGCGGCCGATGGCCCGCGGCCTGTGGCGGACGCTGCCCGCGCACCGAGGCGAACTGTGGGCAGGTTGACCGTTTCGCGCTTGCTTTGTTCGGCGATGAGTGGGCTGGCTCCGCTCCCCGCTGTGCGAATGAAGACGTCGCCAGGCAAACCAGGAATCCTGCACGAGCCGACATGCGATGGGCAAACTCCTGAAGCGAACCCTGGCCTGGAAGAAGAAGCGGATGTGCCGCGTGCGAATCTTTCCCGAAGCCCGGAGGGCCAACAGCACTGCAAACACACAACACGACGAGAGGAGGCGAGGGGCAGAGCAGGAGGACAAGAGGGGGGGGCAGCGAGGAGCCACGCCAATGCACTCGGAAATGGTAGGTCGAACGACTCCACGCGCGTGGCGCAGCCAAGAGCGGAGCTGCCTGCGCCCCCAGGAGCGTCGCGGGCAGGCTCGAGAGAACGCCGGGGGCGGCGCGGCCCAAGGAGACGCGCACAAGACGTCGTCACGTTACGGCGGTCGCTGTCCGCACTCTGGCGGGGCGCTGCTGCTAGGATGAGGCCGTCGCAAGCATGCGCCGCGGCCCATGCATATGCGTGAGCCCTGGCCGCGCCAAGGCCGTACCCGAACTCGTAGAGCTGGTCGTCTGGACTCTGCTCCTGGCTTTTATTCCAAAGACCACGTGATCGTCATCGTCAGCACTACCATCATCAAAATCGTCAACAGCATGACCACCTACATAAACCACCACCGCGCCATCTCAAGAGCAGCCAACAACAATTGGCAAATGTATGTTCGTTGGAGCGATCCCCGGCAGATAGCCGCTGCGAATGTGTTCGAAGTGCGTACTGCTTGTAGGTACACATGTCAGTGTAGCAGAACCGTTATCGCCTGGCATTGCCGCATCTGAATGCGTAACGGTCGTCACTCCAGTGTGTTGCTGTTGATTGTGTGTGTGTGTGGCCCAGTGCTGTTCTGCTCGTGAGAACTACTCGAAAGATCGAACACGCCATGTTGGATGTATGATCGTTACTGGCGATGTATAACAATTGGTTGTGTCAGGACATTCCGTGCGCTTGCTGTGTATGCATGTTCCTTACGCCTGCGCGGCACGTCTACCGCTAGAGTACGCGCTGGTGTCCGGAATACATGACACACACTCGCGTGCTATTGATGTCAACTGCGCATGAAATTGGAATCGTGTGTTGTGCATGCTCGTTCCATCCGCGCATGTGCTACACGCAAACTGGAGGCGCGGGTTCGACACACCTGTTTTGCCCAAGCAGTGCTTGCACTTAGGGTCATACGTCTCGCCGAAGGAACTGAGACCGTCTGTGTGCCCGGCGGCTCCGTTCCCGTCCCGCGCCGAACCACATGGCTTGCATCCTATGGCTCACAGCACAGAGCTTGCACCACACAGCTTCCACACCATGGTCTTGCACCACACAGCTTGCACCACGTCGCTGTGACCACGTACACTGACCCAACTAGCTTACACAACTTAGCTTGCACCACATGGCTTACATAACATAGCGTACACCATATTGCTTGCTTCACATAGCTGGCATCACATAGCTGGCACCACATAGTTTGCACTACGTAGCTTGCACCACATGGCTCACACCAACATAGTCTGAACCACCTAGCTTACACCAAATCGTATGCACCATATACCTGTCACCTCATAGCTTACACCAACATCGCCTGCATCACATAGCTAATAGCTTGCACCTTGTAACTTACACCACACATAGCTTACACCACATAGGTTGTACCGCCTAGCTTACACCACATAGCTTGCACAACGTATACGGACCCACCACGCAGGCACCACATAGCTTACACCACAGAGTACGCACAGCATAGTTTACCCCCACATAGCTTGCACGACGTAGATTGAACAACGAGGCTTACACCACATAGCTTGCGCGACATAGCTTGCATCACCTTAGCTTTCATCACATAGCTTGCACCACATAGCCGATACCCCATATCTCACAACACATGCCTTACACATCCACAGTATACTCACATACTGGTTGGGGTCCACACAGGCTTACATTTATGCGTTGCATACAAAGAATGGCTGTTCGCGGCACTTAGAGGTGTGACTGATGAGACCTAATCACGTGTGTGCTCGTGTGTTCATGCCGCGAATCTGAAACCTCGCGTTACATGAATGCATAGTTTTAGGTATGTTCGTTCTGTTCTGCTTAACGCCAATGTAAGTATATAGTCGGTTACGTCGCCATTTGTCAAAGACGCGAGGCAGGACTTTAGGAACTATCGGGCATTCTGGGGCCCAGCGGCCGCGGTATGCGTTACTTGTCGAGGGCGCGCGGCGGGAGGCTATCGGGAGTTCTGGGGCCCCGTGGCCGCAGGATGCAAGGCTGGTGGGATGGCGGGGGGTCTTTAAAACGAACCTGGCATCTCCAACCTGTTGGGCGGGGAACAACATCAGCCTCACCACCATGCCAGCTTTCACCATCACCGCCATCGTCGACATCAGCAACAGCCCTCGTGTTCGCTTCATCTCCAGGGGCGCTCGTTGCATGAATCATCGTCGGGGCTCGGCGAGCGGCGCGCTCAGCCGCTGCCCGCGCCGCGAGCCTGTCAGAAGCTGAGCGAATCCGATCCGTCAGCGGACCCCGTGCTGCCGTGCGTTACCTTATCCAGAGCTTTCCACCTTCACGCGTCGCGCTGCGCGAAGCGCTCTCTGGTCCCAGAGGGTGAGGAGGAACGTTAGGGGGGACTGACTCGGGGGGGAACATCGTCCTGGAGTCGGCGATACATCGCCGAGAGCGCAAGCGCACGTTCCTGGGTGGGGTGGGCCATCGGGCCCCTATCGGCGATGAGTGAGGCGAGCGGGGGTCGATGCGTTCCCCCCTGAGCTCAACGACCCCTCACGTTGCCCCTGCGAGGATGGCGGACCAAGGTGTCCAGCCACAGCGCTCCCCCCGCACCCCGTGGCCCCGGGAAGGGGACAGCCTGCCACAGCCACGCCGCCGTCGCCGCCGCCTCGGTGCATCAGAGATGAGGTCCTGAGGGATGGGGCCCTGAGGACAGGAAGGGATCCAAGGGTGGAGTCACGGTGTCCGAGGCACCTCGTCCTCGGGACCCCGCCCTTCAGGACCCCATCTTTGAACCACCCACTGCCGCCCTCGCCGCTCGCCCCGCGCGGGCCCTCCTCGGCGGCGGGCGGCGCCGGCGGGGCGGCCGCCGCGGTGCCCGCGGGCGCGGGCGTGGGCGCCTGGGCGGGCACAGCGGCGGGCACCGGCACGCCAGAGGCGGAAGCGGAGGGTGCGGGGGCGGTGCCCGGCAGGCAGCCGAGGTTGTCCAACACCGACGGCGGCCGCTGTTCTGCAGGCAGCGTTGGCCCCAAGTGGACGACGCCCGAGACGACACGACACCGACAGCGAGCCCAGGTCGAGATTGGCAGCAGCTGCTGTCGACCCGCGTCCTCGGCATGTGGCGTCCCTGCCTCGATCCTCCAGAGGGCACCAGGCGCAGAGACAGAAGGAAGACGAGATGAGGGATCGAAGGTCAAACACGAAATCATCCTGGACCCTGGATCGTCGTGTCACCCAGCTTCCATCATTCAGCTCTCATCATGTCATGTGGCTTACCTCATCGAGGACCGAGCTGGCTCCTCTCATCCTCGATCCTACGGTTCCCGAGGATAATCGAGGGTCGAGGAGGGTATAGGTTCTTGATGACACCAAGCAAAAGGGCCCTGATCAGCAACGCTGCATGATACACACACACACACATATACATGGGCTATGTCGGAAGCCCTGAACCCAAAATCGTTTTCATCTCTTGTGGGCGCATGTTTTACTTCCGCCGCCTTCCGCCGGCCTTCCGCTGGATGCTGCCCGCGGAGGCGGCCTCGGTTCTACTTCCGCCGCCCTTCCGCCGCCCTCCCGCCGCGGAAGACATGACGACTCCCTCGATCCTCGAGGGCGAGGCGCTTCTTTGGAACAACCCACATGGTGAGCCAACATCGACTGGGGCGTGCTGGCTGTGGGGGCGGCCCGCAGCGCAGGCCACCGAGCGCGGCTAGGCGCGTGGGGGCACGGCACGGCACGCCCGCCGCAGCCTGGAGAGGCTTCGGCACGGCACGGCGCCGCACGCGGGCACTGCACGGCACACTCCTGCTTCGCAGCGGCACGCCACGGCACACCTGTTTCCTCGCATGCCGGCCCCTGGGCACGGCGCGGCGCGCGGGCGCGGCACGGCCAGTCCCTCGCATTCTGGAGCCATGGGCACGGCGCGCGCGGGCACGGTGGCGTCAGCGGCACATGCTTTCGCAGTCCGTGGTGTCGAGCCGGCCTCTCCTGAAACGTTGAAACAGCTCCAACCCTCTGCACCGCTCGCAAGGCAAAGCTCCGGCCCTGTAAGAACGGTTTTTTGAAGGCAGATCTGCCTTCAAAAAATGGTCTACTCTGTAAGAACGGTTTTTTGAAGGCAGATCTGCCTTCACAAAACCGTTCTTTTTTGAAGGCAGATCTGCCTTCAAACAACCGTTCTGTCCCTCCATGCGCCTCTGAAAGCCCACGGGGCCCTCGGGAGCCCCCCATGGGACGCCTGGCGTCCACGAGGCACCGGAGAGGCCCGGCGGCAGACGCTCCGCCGGAGACGCCGCGCGCTCCTGGGCGGGGCACCCGACCCCAAAACCCGGCGCAGAACGGGCCACGGGGCGTCTGTGTGTCCGGT